TGATCAAGGTGGGGAAGATCAAGACAAGACTTGGCTTGATGGACCGGTTGCAAGCGTGAAGGGCAAGTTGGAGGCTTTGGAGTGATGGACCGCGTGGCGGTGAAGCTTGAGCAAGACTTGACGCCGATGGACGATGGCAACGGTGAAGAGCAAGTGAAGTCAAGATCGATGAACCAATATGATCATGTGATGATATGAAGTGGATCATATCATTGTTGATCGTGTTAGTGCATGTGTTGCATCGACGTTGGAGAAGATGGAATGGAATGCGCAAGGCAAAGGTATAACCTAGGGCATTTCATTTCACCGGTCATAGGTGTGTAGAGAAGTTTATGATCGGATTTAGGATAGATGGCCGTACTATCAAGAGGGGCAAACTTGTTTGCATATCGGTCATCTAGTGCCACTCGAGTTATCTAACTTTACACCGTCGCTAGGATCGAGCGATGTGGCAAGTTGAGTGGCTAATCCTTTGGAAAATAATTGTGAAAATACTAACACATATACACATGGTGGTGTACATTTGGTGGGGTTGGCACATTTACAAAGGAGATGAAGTTGGAGTTGATGTGGATCAACTCAGTGAAGAAATGGAGGCGAAAGGAGAAACTCCACCGGCGAAGTGTCCGCCCGTAGAGTGCGGACAGTCCGACGGTGCCACCGGTGCCCTATACAGAAAAGACAGGGTCTTACAGAGTGGACCGGACGCTGGGGTCCTACGTCCGGTCAGAGCTGACGTATGCTGACGCAGGCAGAGCAGAAGCTGGAGAGTGACCAGATGCTGGTGCTGCGTCCGATCGTGATCAATCGGACGCGTCCGGTCGTGAAATGTCATTTCTGGAACCTTACTGGAAACGACCGGACGCTGGAGGCTCAACGTCCGGTCAGTTGAAGCTGCTGCGTCCGGTTGTCAGATGACCGTTGAGATTGGATGAACAGCGTTTGAAGGAGGGGACACGTGGCGAGTATCACATGACCGGACGCTGAGGTCCAGCGTCCGGTCGATCGGACCAGAGCGTCCGGTCGTCCCGACATTTGCCCAGTGAAGGGGTAACGGCTCTATTTGTTCGTGAGGTTATAAATAGAAGCCATGGTCAGCCTTGGGCCGGTAGCTGAGCACACTAGAGCCTTGGTGGCTTGTGTGGTAGTGCTTGAGAGCCCTCCATCTCACATATACTTGATAGTGATCATCCAATTGTGTGAGTGAGTGATTCTAGTGCGATTGTATCGTGAGGTTGCATCGAGTGGCACTAAGTGATTGAGTTGAAAGCCGGTGATGCTTGTTACTCTTGGAGGTTGCCAGCTCCTAGACGGCTTGGTGGTGGTCTCCGTCGAAGCCCGCAAGAAGCTTGTGCGGTGCCCCGGAGAAGTGCTTTGTGAGGGGTATTGTGCTCGCCCCGCGGGAGCCGCGAAGAGCAACTTTAGTAAAGCGTGTCATTGAGCTACCCTCACTTCTGGGGTAGGTTCTTGCGGGGCCCGACATGCGAGCTTGGCGGGTGATGCCAATTAGCCGCCGAACCACCAAGTGAGCGGTCGACACAACGGGAACTAGCGTGTTGGCAAACACGTGAACCTCGGGAGAAAAATCATCGTGTCAACCTTGTTCTTCCCGTTGGTTTGCATCCCCGTTACACAAGCTTGTAATTACTTTCATATACATTGAGCTTGTGTTGTTGCTTTCGTAATTAGTTAGCTTGTGTAGCTTACTAGTTACCTTCTTGCTTGTGTAGCATAGAAGTAGCTTCCTTGCGTGGCTAATTTAGTTTGTGTAACCTTGTTAGTCACATTGCTTAGTTTGTGTAGCTAAGTAACTGCGCTCTCTAATTTGGCATTGGTTGCCTTGTTATTGAGCATTGCTAGTGAGCTTATGTGGCTTTGTGCTTTTGCTTACTAGCATGTATAGGAGCTCCCTTGTTGCTTAAAGTACTAGTGGTATAGTTTTGTGTGACTTACTCCTAGAATTGGTTAGGAGAGCTCTAGCTAGCCCTGCGTCTTAGTTGCTTAATTAGTATCTTTGGAAGGTGCTAGAGAACACAGATAGAGGGGTGTAGTCTTAGCTAGACCGATAGTCTTAATTCCGCACTTGTTTCGGTTAGCCGACGCGATTAATTTTAAAAAAGACTATTCACCCCCCTCTAGTCGCCATCTCGACCCTTTCACCTGTGCCGGGCCCCGGCGTCGGTCGCTCCTCTCTCTCTCTGCAGTGTTTTGCGTCGTCGTTCTCGACGACGCTTTTTTTGCCTTGTGAGTCGGTTGCTACGCAAAATAGCTGCCCTGTTTGCGTTCTCCGTTGGACGGTGATTTTGCGACCCAAAACACTGTGCATGAGGCATTTTGGGTTTGGGTCGCCGTTTACCTATCCCGTTGGAGACAGTCTAATAATCTGATGATTTCCGTCCCATCCAGCCCCTCAGACACTCCCTGCACCCTACGCCTCGCATCACCTGCCCCAGCCTCTCTCTCTCATCGATCGCCTACCCTCACACTCCACGGTCCGGGTCCATACCGTCGCGCTCTCTCTCTATCTTCCTGGTTGGATTGATGCTTGGTTGGGTGACCAGCCACTAAAAGATAGATTTCCTGCGTTGTTCAATATTGTGAGAAGAAAACAAGATTCGGTGGCGAGAGTACTTGCTTCAGTCCCACTTAGCATTTCCTTTCGCCGCAATTTAGTGAGTAGGAATCTAAGGGACTGGCTTAGAATTGTTGCTTCTATACAAGATGTGAACTTAGCGGGGGAAAGAGACATATTTGTTTGGGCTTTACATTCATCAGGTACCTTCTCAGTTAAATCTATGTATGCCAAGTTAATTAACAATGGTGGCAGAGTGTCACAAGATTTATGGCAGATCAAGATTCCTACAAGAATAAAGATATTCTTGTGGTACCTAAAAAGAGGTGTAATCCTAACCAAAGATAATCTTGCAAGACGTAACTGGAATTGTGACAAAAGTTGTTGCTTTTGTCACTCTACAGAGACTATTCACCACATTTTTTTTGAATGTTCTTATGCCAAATTTCTGTGGCGCGCTGTACACTTATTATTTGGAATAGCACCTCCTCTCATCATAGACGATTTATTTGTTACTTGGTCTAAGATATGTGGTGTTATTTATAACTCATTGTTATTAACGGCAGCAGCGGTTTTATGTTGGACAATTTAGTTATCAAGAAATGAAGTGGTTTTTGACAAATGCAGACCAAAAACTTTTTTGCAGGTGCTCTTCAGGGGAACCCATTGGCTGCGGCAGTGGGCAAGACTGCAGCGGCGTGATGATGTACCGGACCACCTGACCCTTGTTGGGCAGCATTTGGAGACTTCAGCCCTGCATTTCTTTAGTTCCAGTGGATAGTTATCTACAAGGTTTTTTTTGGTCTTTTTTAATCAAGACTTCTCTTCATGTTTTGTTTCCCAAAGTCTGGATGTGAGCTTCTCAACCTTGAAAGTAGTGTGCTGTGAACTTTGTAATAATGGACCTGATTCTACCTCGGTAGATGAAGCCGGATATAAACTATCCTTTATTAAAAAAATATATATATAAAAGGAGAGGGCTCGAACCTTCTTCCTCGCTCCGTCCACTGCCAGTGCCACCACACACCGTTCCGAGTTCCCCGACGAGCGAGGATGAGATGAGAGCTCGAGATATATCATCAGTGAGAGGGACCACGCTGGAGAAGCAGGGCACGTGCATGCTCTTCTCGCGCGCTCCTCTCCTTCATGCATCTATCTCCATGGATATGGATTGGATCGGAGAAGCTAGCTAGTATGCTGCACGCACGTGTTCTCCTTCTCCATCACGGTCTTTCTCACTTCGCCATGCATGGCCATGGAATCGAATCGGTCATATCGTTGCAAGCTATCGGTGGTCGTCGGTGATAATGATCGATACGTACATACGTATACCCTACCCCTCGCCGCCATTCGAGATCCGGCCAAAGGTATGTTCGTCATCACCGGCCGGCGAGCACTGATAGTTTATTATTCATGATCATGTAGTCGATCATATGTTTTAATTCTGTCAATGAAGACACAGTGCACTGTGCATCTTCTTGCCAAATTTCCAATTCGATCTCCTATCTTCAGCCTTTGATGGCTGGCCAGCGGCCGGTTTATGTTTGTGTATATATATATATATGCTGCCAAGAATTCCTGCCATTTGTCTCCTCGTGTTGCTCTGATCTTCCTCCCAGAATAAGCAAATAAGTAATTCAGAAGGTTATTATATACGCATAGTGAGGCCGCCTAAAGTTTGCTACCTCCAGCTGAATGCATATAATGCAGCTACAAAATCAGATGTGCCCCTTTCCCCTTTTCCGTTTCCCACTTTGTTTATTGCACGCGCATGACGCATGCAGTTGGTACAAAAAAATATATCTGAAACCCCGCAGTGACGCTACAAACACCACTTATTTAGTGGTACTATGTTATTTTATATTAAAATTATGTGTACTTATTATTATTATTAAAAAAAATATTCGAGACCTAGCCCCGTGTCACTGCTTTTAAAAAAAGTGCGTATCCGCGTATCCGATACCCGTGTCGGTGGCTGGGCAACATAGGTCGGGAGTGGCCGTCCTACTACTAGCGAGCGCAGTCAATGGGAAGACAGGCGGTTTTACCGGCGCACGCCTGCATTTACTTCAATCTCTCGGGAACTCCAACAGCCGGCCGCGTACTTCTGGAGTAGCAGTAGTAGACTACTACTGCAGAGACCATTGGCTTGTAAGGCCAGTCTAAGTCTCGACGGAGATTTCATATAGTTTTATGGATATTAAATATATAATATAATACTGTACGAGAGAAGATAAAAGTTTTATAGAGTAAAGAGAGTTTTATGAAAATAAAACTCTTCTGCACTGTTTCTAAAATATAAATGTGTTAAAAACTAGGAAATGAAATCCACACTGAGACTGACCTAATAACACTTGAGACTGGCCTAATAACACTTGAGGAGGAGCTACGAGCTAGCAGAGGAGACCTTATAGCAACGACGCGCACCATGAGCGCTGCGGACGAAGAAATAGAAGCTGAGCCTGAGCACGATCCACGGGCAAAGATGAAGTCCGTGCTCAGCTATTGGGAGTCGGTGACCAAAGACGACTGCTCGCTGAGCAAGTTCGATGTTGGCTTCTTGGAGCACAAAATATTGTCCTGGTCCATCCAAGACGTCTTCAACAAGGACCTCCTTAAACAGCAGGTGAGTGATCGAGTCCACTCCAGTCCACCGCATGCATCTTTCAACTTTGTGATTTGTGATTTTGCCCTAGATCGAAGGTTCCGTTTACCTCTTATTTTAGACGTCGTTAGAAGGAACTAGAATAATTTTTTTTAAAATCCCCATCTGGAACCCTCTCGCTCGCTGTTTCTACTCTCCTACACCCCCTCCTCATTCCTCTCTCCCTCCCGCTCGGCGGCGCGAGGCAGGCAACCCTCCCGTCGGCGCGATGCCCAGTCACGCGGTGCGGCGTCCTTGCATGGCAGAGGCCTTTGACTGTCGCGGGCAGCCTCGTGCCGTGCGGCGTCGATGCGACCTGCACGCAAGTAATCGCTCGCTCCCAAAATAAGTCTTCATCTCGTGTTTCGAGGACTCAACCGATCTCAGCTTTGACTAGCTAGGTTTATAGTAGGTTCATACTATGAAAATATACGACGTGATTAATCTAACGATGTTTATATATTACCTTAGTATTTTTTAAGTATATATTTAGTCAAAGTTGAGAATGTTCAACTCCTCAAAATACATGATGAAAACTTATTTTGGACATGTCATACACTTTAGAATCGATTTGATTGGTCTTGCGGTAAGCATCTCATGCTCGCTGAGTCTTCTGACGCGACATATCTTTGAATTTTGGTATGCCAGACTTCAAAACGTGAGAATGAAATCCGACTTGTCAAAATCATTTTGTAATATGCAAGTCATGTCATGATGTTGTTAAAATCGTCAGAAATTTGCTTAGATCTGAAATATATGCAAATTCTTTTAAGTTTTGTTGCTAAAATTATTTTGAAGTATGTCAAAATTAGTTTGATATCAAAGCAGGGGTAAAATCAAATAGTACTTTGAAAAATAGGGGCAAATCTGTATCGGCATTCTGGTCTTTTTATAGCTGAATTGATACTGTTAAGTCCCCCAAAACAGAATAGGATCAAACTCAGTCTCCAGTTGAAAAACGGAGGGGCAAAATCACCATTTGCATTCAAAATAGGGGTGTGGACACAAGCCTCTTGATTTAATTGCCACTATTATCCATCCTTCGTGGCTTCATCTCGATTGTGCATGGCATTGTTCCCCACTTGTTCTGACACTGATTATCGATTGTGCTTAAAGATGAGAGCTAACAATATATAATTAATTTGGGTGTATTACAGGTCCACAGGATTCCTGATACCTTCATGTCGCTGCATGCTTACTTGGACTCATTTAAGGGCCCTCTGATTGAAGAAGTACATTATGATGTCTTTTCGTCATTGAACGGTTATGCTCATGCAAACTTTATAGAGATAATCCGACTGGAGAGGCTTAGTGATGGGAAATCAATATTCTGTTTCGAGGTTTCCATGCCGTCCAAGGACGAGAAGTCAAGGGAGATTTATGTCCCCAAACATGGGGATATAATAGTTGTGTCCTCGCAGAAACCAAAGCATGTGTCCGATCTGACAAAGAATAGAGCATCGTACAATTTAGGTTCGGTTCTAAAATCTGGAGATGAAGAAGACAGTGATTTGCCACCAAATTGCTGTATTGTTCGGTTTCGATCAGCTGTTCATGTGGAAGTAGATCCGGAAACAAGCATGCCTACAGGGCCATGTTTTGCTGTCTTTCTCATAAATATCAAGACATACGATCGCATATGGAAGCACCTTCACTTGGGAGCAAATGATCATAAGTTTGCAGCACTTCAGGGCAGAGGGGCTAATACAGCTATTGTCAATCTGGTGTGGCAGTACAAGAAACAGGTATGCCATGTCCTTTCTAACATCTCATCATCATATCGACACCTTATATTTGCATCTACATTTACAACACTTTTGCTAATGTTTCCAGCATATCGGTTTGTGAGTAGGATCAGTCATATCTCTTACTGCATGTGGATTGAGAAATTGAGATAACTCCTCATAGTTTGACTTAATTATTTGTTCATTTTCCCGTGCATGCAGGCAGCTGAAGATGGTACCTTGTCATTCCCCCAGCTCTCTCAATGCCTCACTCGTAAATCAGTTGATGACCTTGGCCTTGAGAAGTTCCACCTAAATGATTCACAGCTGAATGCTGTAGCTGACTGTGTCTCATCAGCAATAGAGAATCGGCCGCCTTCCCTAAAACTAATATGGGGACCCCCTGGGACAGGAAAAACAAAAACCATCAGTACTATCCTCTGGACAATGCTCATGAAGATGAAGGGCTTAAGGACACTTACCTGTGCCCCTACTAACACTGCTGTGTTGGAAATTGCATCTCGAATTGTCAGGCTTGTTGAGCAGTCTTCAGATGGCAGTGTCTGCTTTCTCAATGACATTGTCCTGTTTGGAAACAAAGAAAAGATGAAAATACGTCATGAGGATGATCTTTCCATGGTATTCCTGGACTCTTGCGCTGAACGGTTGCTGCCATGTTTCATGCCATGCACAGGCTGGATGCATTGTTTGCGCTCGCTAATAGATCATCTTGAGAATCCTATTACCAGTTACAGGCTGCATGTTGAGAAAATACTTGAAGATGAAAGGAAAAAAGGAGAGCACTAAGGAAAATACATGTGAAGATGGAATTTGTAAAGCACGTGATGTGGGTGACAACTCTGCGAGGGCTTCTTGTGTTTCGCTATCAGAGCCCTCTGCAAAGGATAGGCACAAGCTTATCCAGGGTGAAGCACCCCCACGTTACCCTTTGCGTTCAAAACCCAACTCCAAAGATCATCTTCTCGCACCCCTCTCGGTGCTCCACAAGACAACCCATATCTGGCGTGAAGACGAGGACAATAAGGGAGGATGCCATGGTTCTGGAGCAATGGAGAGTACATTCAGAATACCGCCATTCAAAGATTATTTCAACAAGGCATCAAATAAGTTGAGAGAGTGCATTGAGATAATGTACAATGATCATCCACGGAATCCAGAAACAGGACACAGCTTTCAGTGCATGCCGGAGGTGCTTGAATTGATTGAAATTCTTCAGAAACTGATAAATTATGAAAATGATGATGTATGATGAATTTCATTATTGCAAGATAGAAGATGACGGTAACCCTATTTTGTGGTCTGAGCAGCTAGCCCGTGTGCGGAGTAACACTAGCAAAAAGTACAAATTCAAGCTAGCTAGATCCTTGTGTGTGCAAGAATTAAGATACCTTCACAAAAATTTGGAGCTTCCTCATTATTACAGCATGCGATCAGTTCAGATTTACTTGCTGCAGAGAACAAAATGCATTCTCTGTACAGTTTCTAGTTCATTCAGGTTGTACAATGTGCCCTTGGGCAATTCTTCTACAGATATTTGCAGTTTGCTCACAAAGCCTGAAAGATTCAAGCTTTTGGACATGCTGATCGTGGATGAGGCTGCACAGCTCAAAGAGTGTGAGACCTTAATTCCTTTGCAGCTGCCTGGCATAAGGCAGGCCGTGTTCATTGGGGATGAATATCAACTACCTGCTCTGGTGAAAAGCAAAGTAAGCTCTGTGTATTCTGATTTTCCTCTTTTCTTTCAGTTTTGCAGGTTGGAACCATATTGAAATGTATTATTGTTTTGTAGATACCTACTGAATGTTCAATACAGGATGCATCCAGAAATAAGCAAGTTTCCAGTTGTGACATTTTACGATGGCAACATATCTGACGGTCCCAATGTCACTAGTAAGAGCTATGATAGGATGTTTTTGGTGAGCAAAATATTTGGACCCTATTCCTTTATTAATGTAGATGGGGGACATGAAACAACTGAGAAGCATGGCCAGAGCCTTAAAAACACAGTAGAAGTTGCTGCAGTAGTGCGGATAGTCCAGAGATTGTTCAAAGGTAACCATCATTGTTAATTCTTTAGTCACAGTACATTTTGTTTTCCTTTTGAATTGGGCTCTCGCAAACTACTTCCACAACGGTTTTTAGTTGTAATGTTATTGATTGTAATAATGGTATGTTGTTCTACGATGGACATTCAATATTCGATCTGAACCGTTGGGAACTTTACCTCAGCTCACTACGTGTATAATATTCTTTTATTTTCCTTTTCTGTTAATTGCAGAGTCAGTGTCCACACGTAGCAAGCTCTCAGTTGGTGTTGTGTCCCCATATAATGCTCAAGTTAGAGCTATCCATGAAAAAGTGGGGAAATCCTATCACACATACGATGGTTTCTCCGTGAAAGTGAAATCAGTGGATGGTTTCCAAGGCGCAGAGGAATATATCATTATCATATCTACAGTGAGGAGCAATGGAGCTGGTTCGGTTGGGTTTCTTACAAACCTGCAGAGGACCAATGTGGCTTTGACAAGGGCTAAGTAAGTTTCTTGGTGCTTGATTCCAGGATCCAAACAAAATAAGGAAAAAAAACAAGTCCTTCTGTTAATTGATTGATCTTTTTGGTAGTTTGGTGTTCTCTTGATGTGGGCTTTGTATTATATACTGTCTTTGGCATGGCGGCATGATTTTTGTCTCACAGCTTTTATATTATTGGACTAGTGGTTGTTGGATTGGGCAAAAGCTTGAACCTTGAAATTCATGTCTCCTTAACATACCAACCTAAGGAGTAGCTTAGTTTTTTCCCTTGTTTGTTGCCAGGCATTGTTTATGGATAGTAGGAAATGGTACGACTTTGTCCAACAGCAAGTCTGTTTGGCAAAAAATAGTGAAGGATGCACGTGATCGAGGTTGCTACTTCGAAGCCAGCGACGACAAGGATCTGTCAAATGCAGTAGTCACGGCCATCATTGAGCTTGATGATGCCGAGAATTTAGTGAGAATGGACTCGCTGCATATAAGCAGGCCGAGGTCTCAGTTTCAGGTAATGCAGAAAACCCTTCTTGAGATCACTGTCCTACGGGGAAGACCAAATTGGCATGCCATACAAAAGGATTTAAGTTTATAGACAAATACAGTTGCCATTGCCAGCAAGTAATGTATTTTTTCTTCCTGTTTTATATGCAGAAATCAGGTCCTAAGTACCTTTCATGAGAGGTCTGAAGCTCTCAAGTCGAAGTGGCATCAAGATGGTCCCTTGGCGTTTGGGAACCGAACTTGCAGTATGACGTGGGTGGTGTTGTGAGATGCTTGACATTTTGCTGAACCAGCTCTTGATGTACGCTGATTGCTGAAGCTGAGGGTGTGCTCTGTAATCTTGGTTTACTAACCTTCTAGTTGGTCGAACAATTACTATTCCTATGAAAACAGTATGTTATTATGCTATTGTTGTTTCGGGGAACCTGGTTACTGTTCATACGGCTTAATCGAGGCGCGGAAATTATCACACATTGTCAAGCAATTTTCATGATGCCTATCATGCCCGTTAGCGCCTGGCTGCCTGCAAGTTGTTGCGACTGAACGCCAAGTGTGAAGAAAGGCTGAACGCTCTCGGTTGGGCCGTGGGCTTAGACTTGCCAACAATTATGAGGCCTTGAATGCTTTGTGGTCAATTCATTCTCCCCTAACTCTAAAATATTTAAACTAGGAGAATACCCAATGCATTGCTCCAGGGATTTCAGATAATTTAAAAAAAAATTATATTATTTATAGTTATAGTTATATGAATAAAACTATCTTAAATTAATTTTGGTGAATGGTTTGACAGATCGATGTGGACAGCTAAGGCCACGTTCGCTTCGCTGAAAAAAGACGAAACACTGTTCCGGCTGATTTGTTGTGAGAGAAAAACACTGTTCCGACTGAAAAAACAAGCCGAAAAAGACGGATTATAAGAGAAGCGAACATGACCTAAATGCATGTTAGTGGATGAAGATATAACTATCATAATTACATATGCTAGTTGGCTATAATTGCAAGTTCTAGTAGATTGTTGATGTGGATAGTTTGCATGTCGAGAGAAATCTCTAGTAGGCTATAATTGCAAGTTCTAGTTAGCGTGCATGTTGAGAGAAATCTCTAGTGAAGTTTAGCTTTATAAAAGTATAAGATTGCCTCCTCCTCGAAGTTGCCAACAATAATGAGGCCTCCCCACGAGCTCTCACAAGTGATATGTGGTTACAGAAGTTTTGACCGGCATCGGGCAACGCGAATGTGGTAGGGAGTATACATGATCGGATGCCCGAACGTTCGACCCGGACGCTAACGTCTGGAAGGTGCTCGTATACGGAGCGAGCGAGCACCTAGCGCGTCGGTTCTAGTGCCCGGACGGTACTAGCACACGGAGCGAGCGAGCGCCTAACGCATTAGGATTGCGAGCGACCGCACCAGCAGTGGGCCCGCTCTCCCTGGACGTCGCCAGCACCGCCAGCCGCTTCCCATGCGAAACCCATATGCAACACAGATCTACTTTTGAAACATCTAGATGCAACAGTTGAAACATACAAAAATAAGACAGATGAAACACTTGAAACAGGCGTCTAAAACACTTGCAAAAACATTTGAAAACCATTGCAAACAAACATATGCAACATCCAGCTGAAACACTTGCAAACATACGTATGAAACACCTGAAAACACTTGAAACATATGCTTGCAACATGCATGTATATGCAACGTTCAAATCTACTTTTGCAACATCCAGATAAAACACTTGCAATATATATCTGGAATAGATGAAACATTTGGAACGAACACTTGAAACATACGTGTATAGCCATTACAACATATGCAACATCCAGATCCACTTTTGCAACATCGATATACAACACTTGCAATATACCTCTTAAATATGTGAAACACTAAACATACTCTTGCAACAGATGAGAGAGAGGAGGTCGTTAGCAGTGCAGCAACCACCGCAGGGTGCTCCAAGTAGTGCTCAAACTTATCGTCGATGTCCTCGATCATGAGCATGCGATTGATGTAGCCCAGCATGATGTTCGAGAACGCCTCCAAATCGTCCGGCTGCCCCACCAAGGGCTACGCGGCAGACGCATCCTGCGACAGCGATTCACGGTTGCTGCGGGTGGGCTGAACCACATTGAGATAGTTGTCGCCGCCGCCCGCAGCTGAAGCAATCCCATCAGACAGCAGCGACTCGTGCTTTGTGAATGTGAGACGAGGATGAGGATGGCTGTGCTCGTTATGCCATTCGCCTGGTGAGGATGAGGGGAGTTTGTAGAAGAGACAGGGTAGGAGACGGTGTTGTGGAGGCTAAGAAATGAGTGGATAAGAATTAACTGAGGAATAAGTGGTTGTCCATGCCTGGAGTACGTCCAATATTTTAGAGAGGGTCAGACGCTTTACAGCGTTTCCGATACACGATGGCACCATGGGGTTGTATGGCAACATTGTCCGTGAAATCAAAGCCAGGGCATTGGAGTTCCAGTGGGCTGAGTTCGTTCATGAGAGCAGGAAATGTCGATGCCCACAATCTCTACTATAAGAGACCAATCAAAACTATACTAGGTCTTCCAAAAAAAGTCCCCCGCTGAGACACTACAACCATTGTGCACCAACGAAATTGTACCCAGGATTACCGTATCATTAAAATCTATGGCTCCTAATCCTTTCTCATAGGCTTCAACTTGATTCGATGGCCAATGTTATTTGGATCTCCCCCGCCCAGGCTTCAACGCACGCCTCGCACATCCCGCAGGCTACGGTAAAATGGAAACCAATGAAAGTCAATCAAGGCAAATAGGAAGGAGGGATCCGTGACTTCGATCAAGGCAATTTCCAGAATTGTCATTATAATGGAAAACCCCACGCCGAGCCCGGCCCCATCTGACGCGCCCCTTCCAAAACTCTTTCAAGAATAACAGTCCGAGAATCCAAACGAATCCACGCCATGGCCATGCCGGTAGCCCACTTCTCCCATCCCCAACACGAGCTCAAGCTGAGGACGAAGTACCACCTGCCGCGCTTCTGTGACCTGTGCGGGGAGAAGCTCACCGGCAGCGGCTACAGCTGCCACCACCGCCTCTGCGATTTCGACCTGCACAAGGAGTGCGCCAAGTACCCGGAGACCCTGAGCTCCTTCTTCGCGCACCCGTGGCACGACCTCACCCTCACCCGCATCGACGACGATGGCCGGCGCGTCTACGACCTGTGCCGCGAGGAAGTCCCCGCCGGCGTCTTCCTGTACCACTGCGCGCCGTGCGGGTTCGGCGTGCACCCACGGTGCTCGCGCCTGCCGCAGACCGCGATCAGCATGCTGCACCCGGATCACAGCCTGACCGCCTTGCCCGACGTGGGAACATGCGCGGCGTGTCACAAGCTCTGTTTCGTTTGGGTCTACCGCTGCGGGCAGTGCAACTTCGACATTCACATCGAGTGCCTGCACGGCGCCAGGCCCTCCACCACCACCACCACCATCACCGCCGCCACCACCACCACCGGCAGCAGCAAGGAAAAGGAGTCGTCGCTGGGCGACAAATCTGTGGGAGGTCTTGCTCAAGCCGTTGAGGGAGCTGCCGCTGTGGCAGGTCTTGCTGAGTCTCTAATGAATATGTTCCGGAAAGAGTGAGATTTTCGTGCGAATGTGGAAACTCACTTGCACAATTTCGATCAGTTTCCGATGAATATGTTTCTTCAGTTTTCCATGCACTTGCTGGAGTCTGGAGATTACGTACCTCTATGTATTACTTCCTCCGTTTCGAATTATAACACAGTTTACCTTTACGCTAAGTTAAATTGCTCAAACTTTATTCATGTTCATACAAAAACACACTAACATTTACAAGATAAAATAATTTCATTAAATTGTCCACGAAAATATGTCATGTTTCAACTTGTAGATGTTAATATACTTTTTCAAAAAAAAACATGGTTAAAGTTAGAGAAGTTCCCTGCCACAAAAATCATTTTAGGAGGCAGTGTCTCCATAAATAGCCAGGCAGCCTCTAGCTAGGTAAATACCCGCATCTGAAAATTACTTATAAAGATAGAGGTTCTAAGGCCATCATCTTAAGATGTTATGTTTGTGAAAATAGATATTAATAGAGACTGACATTCTATCCGTCTCTAACAATCGATTTTTAAATACAGACGTCTCAAGCTACCCATCTCTCAAAATAGTGTCACCAAAAATAATTCATAACTTTTCTATATAAATTTGGATAAAGATAAACTTTATATCGACATAGTAGCTCTCGATAAGATCTATAACTTTATAGTTGAGAAGTTTTTTATTTTAATTGTTTAGAGTCCCAAAATATTGCTTTAAATTCATGAATTTTGAAATTAAAATTATTTTTTTCTAAACAACATGAGATGTTGACATGGTCTATAGGAAAGTTGTTGTTCTGTAACCTTGGAGTTGAAAAGTTTCTTATGTAAAGTCGTTTAGATTCTCAAATATCTGGACACTGTTACAACCAGATAAATATCCATCGCGGTTGCGCACATATATTTACAACTATATCTACTATTTAATTTTAAAAAAGATCAAATACAATTTTTTCTTTCATTTATCAAAAGTGAATTATAGAGTTACTTTAAGAAACTATATCTACTTTAAGAAGCTTGGTACGGCATCTTTGATTATTTGGGATGAAGTTTGCATGAAGTGGCCATGAAGATCTCCAAGACATGTTTAAGGACTTAGGCATATTATAAATTATATGGTTAATGCGAGAAATAACTTTATTATGCCTTGTTACGTGTAAGTGTTTCCCGGGTTGTATATACATAGTCATATACAATTGTGTGAAAGTTGAACTCTGGAAAAAAAATCGTTGTTTGGTTGTTTCCATGTACATCCCTAAATAAAGCCGTAGCGTTAGCATGGGCACTATGCTAGTCTACTAATGAGTCAAGTGCTAGCAGAAGTCGGCCGACATGTTTGGCTGCTGAGTCCACCAGAGGGTGTTTGTAATTCTTATAACCAACTCTAAGAGAGTATGGTCTTCCTGAAAAAATTGCCTCCTTCCCGGAGTTGAAGTGGTTACGAGGCATTTATTTTAGTCCATCAATAAGATCTAATAAATTCTTTATAATTTTTTTTAACCATGGAAAAATATTTTAAAGTGTAGCAAAAATCTTAGAGATATATAGTAGATTGGGACATGAAGAACTCAAATAAAATATTTAGAGCCATGAAAATATCTTTAGATCCTTCGAAAAATAGACGTAGTTCTAGAAATGGAAAGGTATAAAAAATCCACAAAAACTCCTAAAGAT